CCCTGTATCCTTGCCTTCGGGCATTCGACGTGCCGTTACCGGTCCTACCGGTACGCCCGGTAGGGTAACGATTCTCGTAAAGATTGTTGCTATTGTATCGTCGACTCGAGGAGATCTTAAGGGCCTTGCCCACGAGAGGCTTGAGTGCTGGCGCGCAGGCGGCGATGATACCGAGGTTAAGCTGGAGACTGCACGAAGTTTAATCAGCAACTGCAAAAGCGTAGGATAATCCCAGCGGTACTTACAATCCCCAGAACTGGACACTCTGATAGAAGGTTCCGTCCTTGTTACCGGGCTGAGCAATCTGGTAGACGGCCTTGATGATTCCCATGATGACGGCACTGAATCGGTTAGCTTGTTGTAGCATACCACAGACAAAGAGAGTTTCCTACAAATAGCCGAGACTCAAGACGATGATCAGATAGACTCGGGTGCGTAGCTTCATCTGCAATACCCAAATAATGGGGATCGGCAACGTTGCGAAGCAGACATCAGTGAAGATGTTGAACGCTATAGCTGGTTAGATCGTAGCAAGTGCAGGCTCGATCAAGCGGCATACCTGTGTTGATAAGGGCAAAGTTCACAAATAACGTGATGCCATAAGTGGTAGGCTTGAGGCTTTTATCCCAATAGCCGGCGAGTGGCTTGCAGTACAAGAAGAAGCTCAGCCAAGCCATGATCGTGTACAGCACGACGAACACTGGAAAGTGATCAGCATTTAGTATACCGCAATTGGATAGGTGACTGGATACCGATGAGTGCCCACAGTGATCGCGAATACCAGGGGTTCTTGCTCAGTCGCAGTAGGGACAGCGCGATCGAAATTTTCAGGAAAGCCAGGGCGGCGATCGCAGAGATGATGGACTGAAAGAAGCCAACTTTGGAATATTCAACATAGTCGAGCTTGCTGATTGTATCCCTGTGTTTTCCAAGTCCATATTGAGCCTGGATGATGAAAATTACCATGCCTCCACCCAATGCGCAAAGCTGGAGAGGGTCAGCACCAACGCCAAGGCGCGAGATCTCCCGGGTATCCATACCGCAGCCATGATCATCATATAGTCATCGATCCCTATCGTCTTCACAATAGCCGCGCGAGTGTACGTTCGTAGACTGACAAAGATGAGCGCGATCAGGTGGAAGGTTCCTGTCACGGCCAAGATCATCGCGGTGTTGCTCTCCGCGGCTCTTGCCGGGTCCACAGCCGTGGTGGACGAAGTCGAAGACATGCTAGGCGACTGCGTCAAAGACGCGGCGCACGCTGATACAAGGGGAAAGACGGTATCGGGAGCAAAAAAGAGCCACGAAGATCAGGAGTGGGCACTTTCAGGAGCGAGGGGACCTGCGCAATCTTTTAAGCATGAATGATTTCTGAGCTATTCGGCTCCGAAGAGAATTCAGATTTCATCAAGGGCATGCAGGAACCACACCATTCTTACAGCATGCAGGGCACATGGGGCGGGAATAGGGACAGCACGAAACGGAGTAATTAAGGAAGTCGTCACTGGGTGACGCTCGCTTGGGTAGACATTGGAGAGCTTCCTGTTCTAGCCCAGCGGAGCCGAGGGAACATCTCGTGCGACTTGCTGCTTCTAGACTGTGTCCCAAGGAGAAGCATGGAAGGAGATCCATCTTATCAGAATGGCACAAATGGCAAAGGTATTGAAATCTGTCTGGAAATTTCTGGGCCGGAGTGCTCCTTGCATGGAGTGGAGTGTGTGATGATTGTGCTTGCTTTGCAGGATCGCGAATTCGATATGTGAGTGGTCGAAATGGAAAGGAGGCTCCAAGGGGGGCAACAAGGGTGGTGTCTCCCACATCACGACGCCGCCCTCTTGCAGTACCGTCTGTACTACTGCCGCACGGAGCAGCATCTGTCAAGAGAATATCTGTAATGAACTATCGAACCCGACTCTTCGGAACACCTGAGACATGGAAATGGTCTTCAAACGTGAAGACAGAGGTTTGTCCAATTTCCAACTGCACCTGCGCTGGCGGCCGCACGCCCTGAAGATATCGATCCTTCGTCTGCCATTTCAGGACTGCCCATCAGGCAACTTCGGATCAATGCCCTTGGCACTTAATTAAAAATGTGGACTTGCGTGGGTGTAGGAGGGCTCTTCAGCAGAATTTCTCCGCTAAAGACCACGGCGGACCTACGATAAAAAGCAACAATTGCGACGGAATCGCCCGTCTCTCAAAGCTCAACAGGCGTAGCGGCCTATCGGAAGCAATCTGCAACGAGTAGTGGATTGCCTGCCTCTCGGATGCTATGGGATACATGCCAAGACCTGGCTAGCGGGAAGGGTTGGAAGTCACAACAGACCAGAGAATGATCTGTCCTCGATCGGTTACGACGGTTGATTATCCCCGAAGTTGAGTGCTGACTTGGTGGAGACGGGCCGTGACCGACGAGTTGGACACTGTCTCAAATGTCACGACTGAAGTCAAGGATGGGATGAACACTTTGTTGCTTTTGAGTTTGAGGGTTTGAGTTAAGCTCATGGGGCACGCGAGTCGGTGCGTTGCGGGAGGTCCCATAGACCAAAAAAAGGACGATATCAGAACGAATATGACCGTTACTTAGAGCTGAGCCGGAAGCCGAGTGCTACTGTCGTTTTCGAATCGCCGTTCTTGCCGATGGCAAATACCGTTCTGATGATTCGCCTCGGCCTGTGGCAACGGCGGAGACGCATCTCCCCATCTCCCCTGCATCTCATCCACCCATCTTGACCGAAGAGGGTTACATCCAGCATCCCGGCCCCGTGGGCCCCGGATCAGGATCTGGGCTATCGAATTTTCTTCCATTATCCGCCGCATAAAACCGTTCGATTGACGACCCTCACCTCAATTTTTCGCCCCCCAACAGCGGCATCCCGCGCCAGGGGTTGCAGCCTTCCAGACATGCCATCCCGCCCAGTGCGGCTAGGACGTCCGCGGCGCGGATCCGGAGCCCTGCAGCCAAAGGCCGGATGCGCTAGCCGACGGATTTTAATCTATTCTCAACGTCTGACAGGCATCCGTCTATATAGCTAGCGAGGTTCTGTGACTGCATGGCGGAACGGCGTCCTCTTGATCTCTGAACACAAGTTCCGGACCGTCAATCCCGCTCCCACTTCCCACGTATTTTCCCGCGCGTGTTCGTCTTTGCAGAGAATCAGGTGTCTTTGCCATACGTAACACAGGACCACATCTCCTCCTTCTCCCTAATTCCCTTGTCCTGTTCGCACGCGACGACCCTGCAGTCTATTCGTCTTCCCAAAACACGAACACCGTCAAGCAATGCGTTCCATCAACATCGTGGCTGCGGCCGTTGGGCTGCTGAGCGCACCGGTTCTTGCTTCTCCCATTGAGACGCGCGATGTGCTGTCTGACCTGCAGATCAGGGCGATGGACGCCCTCAAGGCAGCCAACCCGGGAATGATGAACAAGCGCAGCAGCTGCAATATTTTCAACGCACGCTATCGCCGGGATTGGTTCGTACTCCCCCCACAGTTTCGTGCAGATCGCGCGTAGGTCCTCGGTTGCTAATATGCGTCTGAAGGGAGGCATTCTCTGACAAGGAGAAGAAGGCATACATCAGTGCTGTCCAGTGCATGTTGACGTCGCCCTCCAAGTCGGATCCGGAGTTTGCCCCGGGCGCCCGGAACCGCTATGATGACTTCGTTGCCGTGCATATCAACCAGACTACCACCATCCACGGCACCGTAAGAAAAACAATCACCTTTGGGTGCGATTCATTCTAACATCGCTATGTAGGGAAACTTCCTGACGTGGCATCGGTATTTCACCTGGGCTTACGAGGAGGCTCTGAGAAACGAATGTGGCTACAAGGGCGCCCAGCCTGTAAGTGGACTGACTCTCTTGACGATTGAACATCTTCGACTTCTCTCTTTTAAGCTTGAAACCTTCTAATCAAAGATCATAGTACTGGAACTGGCTCAAGTACCAAGATGATTTGACCAAGTCTCCAATCTTTGATGGCAGCGACACGAGTCTCAGTGGCGACGGTGCCTTCGTCCAGCATAATGGCAGCCTCAGCGGTGCCGGTGCCATCTGGTTGCCTTCCGGTAAGGGCGGTGGCTGTGTAGAGAGTGGACCTTTCGTCAAGTAAGTATCTCATTATTCCAATCGTCTAATGAAGTCAAACTAACATATGCATAGCATGACAGTCAACCTTGGACCCGTGAACCCTGGTATGGACGGCATGGAGGCCAGTCCTGCAGGAAGACTGGGCCACAACCCTCGATGCCTGAAGCGTGACCTCAGCTCCTATACCATGACGAACTGGATGACGAACGAGAACATGGCCAATATCACTATCGGAGCTGCTTCCCACAACATCGAGCTTTTCCAAAACGAACTCCAGGGGAGGTTCGCGGACGGCTTTCTCGGCATGCACGCCGCAGGCCACTTTTCCGTCAACGGCGAGGCGAGCGACCTGTACTCGTCACCCGTTGACCCTTCTTTCTTCCTTCACCATGCGATGGTCGACCGCGTGTACTGGCTGTGGCAAGCTCTGCACCTGTGGAACGCCTTCGAGGTTGCCGGCACTATTACGATCAACAACAGGCCTGCGAGTCGGAACACTACTGTGGAAGATGTTCTCTACCTTGGAGTCCTGGCAGAGAACCGCACAATCAGCGAGCTGATGAACACCATTGGCGGATCGCCACTTTGCTACGTCTACGCCTAAGCGCAAATCGGCCAGTGGATGACTGAGGCAAATCAGAAGTGAAGGAACCATAATTATCATCGTAATCACTATTGTCAAGACTGGACCTGGACGACTCGGAGAATGATGGTCAAGGTCTACATGTACATATTTGATCTTCTTGTATCTACTTAAGCAGACGATAATAGCATGAGCGGAGGAATCTGGCTTCATGAAAGTTCCAAATAATGTCTTTGTATAAAGTGTAAGTCTTACTCTAAGAATTGAATTGTCCATTAGATTGGCTCCAATTGTGCCATAAACTTCGCAAAAGCCATCGCGGTTGTCAAGACTCATACTTCCGTAGCAGAGGATCACTCAGGAGCCGTTCCATGGCCTCCCGTTGAATGCATATGCTGATATCGAAGTCGCCAGTATCTGCAACATCCATGACCTGGACGAGACCATCGACCTTCGGCATGACTCCCTGGACATACCTGGCCACCTGCCGTGTTCCAAAAAAGTCCAGCTCATAGGCTTGTGCCCTGACCCAAGAAGTAACAAGTGTATGGTGTTTGCCCAAGAAGGCTTGCCATAGTCTTTGTGGACTAACTTCATGAGCCGCATCATGGATATAAGCTGCGACCGCATCTGGAGTGAACATGGCCATCATGTCTCTGATTGCACCCGCGACGAGCCCCAATTCCGCGGTGGACGCCTCTGCTCCAGTCTTCTCGACATATCCCAGAAGGAGAGGAGACCCAACGAAAGTCTGGGGCAATGGCGGGCTCACCCTTGGTCGAAGTCCAAGAGTGATGTCCAGATACACGTTGTCTTGAGTATCTTGAAGACCTCTTGCGCGATTGATGAGAGTCCATACGTGTGCCAACACAGCATCAAGTCGAGACATGTGACAAGACGCCATACTAGCAGGAAGATTTGCTTGCGCAGCTTCTTTCATTCTCGCTAGCTCGCTGGACGAGAAACGGATCTGATAGTGATCAACTGGCGCAGCCATGTCCCATGTTGGCCATGGCGGAAAGGCTGACGGGCTGAGCTGCGTGCTTCCCATTTCTTCAGCAGACGGCATCGTAGCCTTGGTGGAATGCATGGTTCCAGACGGGAACCCGGGCGCATCTTCCGCCCACCAGTCAAATCGGTGCATTGGGAGTGATCGGGCCTTCTGAATCTTGGTACTGTCGGGTGCTCCGCCATGGCTTAGTTCAGCGACTCGGTCAAGCAGGGACGAGTCAAAGACTGGCTTGATAATCCTTGAGTCATTAGATATGGACTCGGGATGTAGTAGTACCCTTGATCGCGCAGCCCAAGAGTTCATGAAGGTCATTAAGCAAGCAGCATCTGCGAGTGGGTGTGCAATCATTGCGCTGATCCCTATGCCTCCGCACTTAAATGCCGTGAGCTGAATAGCCACGCTGGGCAACCCTTCGATCGCATTAAGGGATGATAGCGCGATTTTGGTTTTCGGTAGGAAGTCGCTTTGCCGGAAGTCGCTCGCATTCCACTCTTTCAAACTCGTTTCTCTTTCGCTTCTGCTCGGAACGACCTGGTCCAAGTTGGTATCGTACTCGGCAACTATGAGCTCTACCCCAGGGTCTTCTGGAGATCCATGAGAAACGACTAGACGCCCAAGATGACGCTGAATTGCATCGTTCCTCACCATGTCCTGGGTCGCCCATTGGATTTGCCCTGCAAAATGAGGGAAATCGTCCAAAGTTTCGCTGAGGGCCGATCCAAGTATTTCGAATAGGCTCGGGTATGATAGTTGCACAATATCAATCTTATCGTACAGCCATATCGCAGCGGTAGGCGTGAATCGTGCGACTGTCGCGTCGATGATTGACAGCTTCGATACGGTGGGTTCCGGTGCAGGCGTCTTGGGAAATATCCTGCGAGTTGCTTGAACCCGACAGCGCCCAGCTGCACTTTGCGAATCTCGGGTCGTCATATTGGCTCGCTATGGATTCAACTGTCCTCTGAATAACCATTGAGATCGCAGGTGAAACAGAGCATGGTGCATCTTTTAAAAAAGCTTCATCTCGCACAGACAGTCCATGATAGCGGGGATGCCCCGGCGAGATCCAGAAGATCGCACCGAAGATGACTGGGTCCGGTATGAATCATTTTGCATCATCACCAGATCAGACATGGAAGTCCTCAGTGATTGGACGCTTGGCCTGAAATGGCGCACGGGAGGGTCCGAACCCCTGTTGATCTCGACGGCGCAGCACCAGTTGGACATGGTTCGGCCGAAGCGAGTAGGGCGTAGCACATGTTATTATCGACACCTTCTTCTTTCAGTTGGCACGGATTCGAGCTTTAGGCATCCAAGTGGGGAGAGAATACGATGTGCATTGGAGACAAAATGACCGAATTGGAAACAAGCTCTAGTTACAAATGAAGATGCTAAATAAAACGAAGTAGCTACCTAACCGATTTTCAGGATTTCTTAAACCACACGACGAATAATAACTGTGTCGGTGTTATGCATCTTCAACGGAAATTTGCACCCAGACACACTACAGCTGCTTCGCGGATTCGAGCTTTAGGCATCCAAGTGGGGAGAGAATACGATATACATTAGAGACAAAATGACCGAATTAGAAATAAGCTCTAGTTACAAATGAAGATACTAAACAAAACGAAGCAGCACCCAACTGATTTCCAGGATTTCTCAAACCACACGACGAACAACAACTGTGTCGGTGTTGTGCATCTTCAACGGAAATTTGCACCCAGACACACTACAGCTGCTTCGCGGACATCGGTGGCCGTGAATACAACTCGGATCGTCGCAATCCAAGCCGGCCAGGCAGGGCGAATGGCGAGCCACTGCACGAAGAGCTTGGAGATCTTTACCATCTAACTTTGGGCCATGCTTATGCTGACACGACCCGAAGTTCCTCAAGAAATGGCAATCCCCAAGGAGATGGAAATTGTTGCACATTTTCTGATTTTTCATCAAAATCACGTCCTGCGGCATACAACTCAGGGGAGAGTCAACACGCTCGCCCGCCTTGTTGCGAAGCACCACATTCATCGTGTGTGCTGGAGTCGTCGTGGACGGCGAGTCCATCTGACTGGTTGCCGAGGTTGATGGAGCGGAAGCTTTCGAAGCAGCGGCTGCATAGCCCGTGGACGGCGTTGTCGGAGGGGTGAGTTGAGACGATACCCGTCGTTTAACGCTTGGGAGCTTCTGCGCCCTGAATACGCTGGAAAGGGACAGGGCTTGGAAGCTGACCTGAAGATCTGCCAGCTCCCTCTCGAACGGGGGTCCCTCGATTAGGACAATTTTGTTTCGCTTGGGGTTGTCGGCAAGATGTCGCTCAAGTAAACGAGCGTACCCATTGTCGCCTGATCCGCCTAACAAGACTCGGCGACAATGAACGTCGTTGAGACCAAGCTCGAAGTTTTCTAAAGATGTCAGCTCACCATATCATGCGGCTTCTCGATGTTGTTCCTGAAGTACCTTTAACCTTCTCATCCGCGCATTCTTTTCCGTTGCCAGCATTAACAAAATCACAGAGAGATGACCCCATATTGAAGCCTCTCACGAAGTCATTCAAGATTTCCACATTTTTCAAAATCTGTGTATCATGGTAAACTTTGGCAAGACCCTTGAGGTTGGCGTATACTCGGATCATTACTTGAGAATGGTGTGGCATGCCAGGGTCCAACATAGGCAAATGTTTCAAGATGGTTTGACGCAGCATTCCTGATGCTTTCTTGCCACCCTCAAATCCTTGAGTAATGAGTTCGTCGGTGAACTAAAATTGTTCAGCTTGACTGCGGGGTGAAACGATGGTGTGAGGGTAAAGCACTTACCGGCATACAATCGCCGTCGATGACCACAGAAGAAAAGGAGTATTTATCCTAGCATCGTCAATCGTGTAATTCAAACCGGCGACGAAAGTCATAGCATACCTTCTCGGACTGAAGCTGATTAATCTGCAGCTTCATTTCGGCACCACTTTGTTTCACAGACTTGATGTAAATGTTCTTCTCTTCCAGGCTCTGCTCAGCTTCAGCGACTTTGCGAGTGAGCGTCTCAACGTGGTTGAACAAGTCCTGCACCAAGTAAATCAGCAACCACCCAAATGATTGCATCGAGCTATTCAGACTCACGACGATCAAGGCGGATTTCCGGTCGTCCTCGACTTTACAAATTGTCCATCTTTCCTCCAGGTTCGCGACATCAAGGACAGCTGCCATTCTGATTTTCAACAGCCCAGAAAGCTGCGGACACTTGGACTGAAATTGAACGTGACCAGAATCAGCAGGAAAGCTTTGAAAAGACGATGGATAATGGTGCCTGATATATGAATGTGTAGTATGCCTGGCTGTCTGCCTAGGAGCCCAAGCCCGTGGCTCAAACAGGTGCTGTTGAGTTGCATTATCACTGCAGGGGATCGTCGAATGAGCTTAGGCTGCAGACGCTGCGATCCATCCATTTTCAACATGATTGCACCAACAATACGACAGCTGTTGGAGACTTACGGGCCGGTCGCATAATGGTCGGGGGCTGAGGGTTGGCGCTTAAGGAGCAACGACTCCGCCTCGTGTTGGTTTGACCGGACCGCCAACAACAGGAGGAAGCAAACATGACCGACCAACATGAAAGTCAACGAATACCATAAGCTGATGATGTAATATTTCGTTCCGCTTTGACGAAGCCTCCGCGTTCTGTGTCCGGCCTTGGAAGGCCATTGTTCAATATGAGGCGCAGCGCCCGCCATTTTATCGAGACCAAAATTCGGATACCAACCCCAATTCCCGGAAGAGATCGGTGACCTCTTGAGCATCCAGTCTGTCGTAATCATGCGATGCTTTGTTCTCATACCAAGCCTAGAGAACTGTAAGTCGCCGAAGAAATAAATTGGTAGTACATAATGGTCAGGTTCAATCGTACCTTGGAGAGCTTCCACATTGTTTCCAAGTTCATAGCCTCTCCATATCTGAATCCGTATCGTTCGCACTTGAGGTATATCAGCAAAAATTGGAATAAATCGAAGATCTTCCTTGTACTCACCCACTCCGCCGCTTGTGTCTGGCTACCAAAAACGTGAATCGTGCCACAAGCAAACCTCACGTCAGTCCACCATGTTTTGAGAGGTGCAGAGAAGTGAACGACGCATTTTTCAGTTTCCCCTTCGTTGTCGCGAAGTTGAATGCCATTCTTCGTGACTATGAAGTTCATTTCCCCATCGACTGTGCCGGACTTGGCGGACAAGCTGACCGGGGATGGGGAGGAGCCATGAGGACCCAACAACATCGCCGCCAAGCCGAAGCCGCACCAGGCGCAGTTCGTCCACCAGGACCGGGTGTCTTGAGTCTAGTTTTCCGATTAGAAGCGATTCTATATTGACATGAAAAGGCAACTTACCACAACATAGGGTGTGGGACTGTTCACAATACTGTCAGCAGCGTTCGTTACAACATCCTCTTGGACACTTTACAGGTGAGAGAACGGATGCGCCATGCAAATTGGTGTCGGGGTATGAACTCCATGCTTATGCAAGACTATATGGTGAGCGGCGTTGAGCTGTTGAAGTGAAACGTGTGCTTGTTCCTCGCTGATGCCGACTGACTTGGCAATATCTTGCGCCGTTGGTGGACGGCAGTTCGCGGGGTAATACTCGAAAATACGGTATCGTACTTCTCGGGTAACTTTGTCCATATTGGATGCGTGTTGATGAAGTTGGGTTTCCCGGTGACTGCAACAATAACTATGAATTCTCTTGTATTTGCAGCTTAGAGTAGGCCATCGGTCCGCCTTTATTTGACTCCGGAACATCTCGAGTCAATGTTGGGCATGGTACAGATGATCAGTAATCACTATCCTGTCACCTGGATGTTATCCACAGCTGTCATATGTAGGGCGTGGCTTTGTGAGGCGTAGGGCGCAGGGACCATGGTCGTACCGCAACCGTCGAATTGGGAAACATAATGCGTGTAATTACTAGATGTGGAGTGGATTTTCAGTCGATTCTGCTCATGATAATCTTCTCTCACGACGTGGAATTCCATATGAACCTAAGGTGTCTCGCAACAGATCGCTATCCGTCAACATAGGGATTATGGCTCAATGTATGCTTCCTAAGAAGAGGCTGCTTTTGTTTGCTAACTAGAGCAGCGCCACGTGCAATTCTGTAAGAGTGACTGAGGCTGACTTGGATTCAAGAATGATGTACAACATTATGGCATACCTTGGGACTAGCCATTCATGAGTCTCGGTTCGTTAAGCTATTGAACATAGACTGGGTGGGTTGTGAACAAGAATCGGCGGTATTACAAAACGCCCCATTAAGTAGTAAAACTGTCCTAAGGTAACGTACGGGTATTGCGCGAACATTGAAATAGTCCGATTTCATCATGTGTGCACAATTAATTTTCATGTCTGGCTCGTAGGTTTTCTACTCTATTTCCGATGTCTACTACGCGCGTTAGCGCACCTCATCTGTGTCTATCGTCATGAATCTATCTCTTGGACACTCAAGAAAAGTAAAACTCCGTAAACTCAACCCTGACCCTTTTGTAGTCACCATTCCTATAGTTCCTTTACCAGGATATCATCCGTCTGAACCACAGAGCCGACGACAAAGTCGTGAGTGCCGACAGCCTTGTATCCCCATTTCTCATAAGCCTTCCTTGCCCGGAAGTTCTCTTCCCACACGCCAAGCCAGATGTTCTTGAAGCCCTGCTCCCTAGCCATATCTTCCAACTTGTCTGCAAGTGCCTTGCCGGTACCAGTGCCGTGGGCCTTAGGGTACAAGTAGATCCGCTGCAGCTCGACAATGCCCTCGAGGTCCGCGACACATGGCTCTGTAGAGCCGCGGGTCAACATTGCAAAGCCCAAGATGTCGCCGGCAGCGTCCGTTGCGAGGATGGTGTCTTTGTTGGTATCTTTCAAGTCCTTTGTGACTGCTTCAATGCTGTATGACTCGTCCAGAAACGCTTGCAGCTCGTGCGGCTCTACTGAGTGGCCAAAGGTGACGGAGAAGACATGCGCACCCAGCTCCGCGATTATTTTGGCATCATCGAGTGTGGCTGGCCGGATGTCGATGTTAGGACGACCGTCCGATCGGATCTCTACTGACTTCGCCATGGCTGCGGGGGTGGCCGACGAGAACGAGATCGGGCGCTTGAGGAGGCGGCTGACTTGACGATCCCGAGCGACGGGGAAGGGATGATAATGATGAAACACAAAGAGTGACCTGTACGGATAGCCCGGATTAACTTTTCTACAAATCGGAGACCCGAGCAGCTGGGCCTTTTGTACAGATTTTGAGCATCGCGTAACCGCTTTCATCGTTGCAAGAACTGGATCTTTTGTCGATCGATGTTTCTGGAAACCGCGAGACACGTCGCACTAACTCTAAAAAGTCTGGCAAGGCGCGTTTACTTGCTGCCCTTTTTCCGAGCACATGGTAGGTCTCGCCTTTGTTGTTGCGCCTTGTTGTCAATGCCATCCCTGAAAAGGCAAAATCATTGGTTTCGCCGCCAATGGCCCACTTCGGCCTGCGCCCTTAGCTTGACACGGGCATCTCCATAATGCCTAGTGCTGTAAAATCTCCCCCATAATTAGGGCGTTCATGGAGCGATCTAAGATGTCAACTCCTCGGAGCTGATGGCCCCGAGCCAATCAAGTTTACATGATTGAGAGAATTCTTTTCGCAGATCATGCGGAGATTGGTAAAGATGCAACTGAAATGCGGCTGAAATGTTGGCTGCGCATGGGTACAACGTGGCGGCAAGGAAGCCGCCGTTCCGCCATCCCGCTGGATCCCGCTCTCAAACAGATCAAGACCGTTGAAGCCACCGCCAACAAGAGGTCGAATTCGATACAAACATCTTGATGTTTGAACGGCGTCAAGATAGAGCAGTCAAATACTCGAGGAAGCTAATTGACCATAGATGATCATGAATTCGAAGGCTATTAAGTATTTCTAAACAAATGCTAAGAATTTTTCCCAAGTACCAGAACATCCCGAGACCGCCCTAAGCACTCTCAACCTTTTCTTCCGCCGTCTTGGTCTTCGAGCCAAAGATCACGATGCAGATCACAGCAGCAGAGGACACCATGACGAATAGAGCACTCACTGTCGAAAACCAACCGACACCAATGCCCTGGACTCCCGGAAGACATACTGCTGTCGCAATAGCGGCGAATAGATACCTAATGAAGTAGTTGCTCGCTGTGGGGTTAACGTCAGCAATTCCATCTTCATGATAGAGGAAGACGGGTTAAGTTGGTGAGTTGGAAAGCATACCCATGACTTCGGAGGCGCGGTCCCGAAAGACATCCAGACAATAACTGTTCAGGCAAGGGAAGCAGACCATCTGAGCAACACCCTGCACAAACATGCAGATAATGGGAAGGGGGATGCCGCCCTTTTGTTGGTCGATAGCCCATCCGTAGATGATCGCACTTCCCGGAATCACCAACCCCATGGCAACAAAAGCACTTCGGAGTCTGTCCTCCGGTACCCGCCTACCGCGCTTCTTGATCCACTTTTTGACGGTGTAGTCGGCGTAAGGGCCGCCGACGAAGGTGCCTGCGAGGTACCCCGCTCCCGGAGCTAGGAAGAAGAACCCGGATTGCAGCGGGGAAGTGAGGTGGAATCGCGGGTTGATCACATAACGAACGGGCGTCAAGAGAACTTGCATGTTCCACAGGATCGATGATGCGGCGATGCCCTGGATGTGTAGTTAGCTGGGGGTGAACCAACAGATTGCGTCTTACCGCGTTGATCAAAACGCGTCATGCGTTTTGAGTTGAGGCTTGCAGCTTGCAGCGGTCCAGCTTTGGCGCGGAAACCTACGATTTTTCTTAATGGCAGGAGGCTTTGGGAAGACTTACCACAAGAAGAATCCTCGGATGGCGGAAGAGGGAGATAACACGAAATGGGTTGGTCCACTCCCAGACCTGTCCAACTTTCTCTTTGAAGGTGAGCCCCTCTAGCTCTTCGGACCACTTGCCATGACTTGTTTCCGGCAAGAAGCCAACGGCCAGGATCATTGCTACTCCTCCCACAGCACCTTGGAACCAGAAGAGCGACTCCCACGTAGAGTAGGTCACGATAACGCCTCCGAGGAAGGGACCAAAGGCAGGTCCAATCAGAGTGCCACCCAGGAACCAGCCCAACGCCGTACCGCGCTCAGTCGGTCGGTACACATCGCTTAAGCAGCTTGAGCCGACGACCAGGAAGCAAGTGCCTCCGAACGCGGTGATGCATCGGAAGATAAAGAATGCGGCCAGGTTGGGGGCCTTCGCAGTTGCGAGAGAGAATGTGCAGAACAACACTGTCGATATGACAAAAACCTGGGATATTTAGTTCAACGGAACGATGAGGAAATTGCGCGACAGCGAGAGTTGCCAAAAAGCCTATTGTGAAGACTACTATTGTACATGATGTTCGAGGTACAGTGATGATTGTGCTTACCCATTTTCTGCCGTACACCTGACTAATCGGGCCCCAGAAGAGGACACCGATGCCCATGATCAATAGGAATAGCGCGTTGGAGTAATTGATGACGGTTCCCGTGGTGTTGAAAGCCGCTGCCACCTCAGGCAGGGCTGATAATACCAGGAGGGCTGCCAGATTGACACCAAGGCCACCGAAGGACACAATGGCTGTGATCAGGATCTTGCGCTTAGGGGTGAACTTGGCGTAAACAGTATCATCCTCACGATATGAGAAGGGCCGGCTAGGAGTCTGCGCGAGGATGTTCACACCCTTCTCGGCGTTGGAGGTCCTCATTGCCAGTAAGTCTGGCGGCAGCTCATCCACTCGCGTGGGTACTTCTGACAGCGTATTTATCGACGACATCTTGGAGACCTGTTCGATGTAGCGTTTCTTGTGACATAGAAAAGAGAACACGGAGTTGAATGCGATGTATTTGCCAACTTGGGTTGAACTAAAGACACGATGAAAGAGAATCGCTGACAAGGGAGAATTCAGGATTTTGCCAAGAAAACAGTCTACACATTCCAACAATAACCCAGCGTAAAACAAACCAGAAATAGGGGGACGAGCTTTGCATTTAAATACGCATGTGCGCGAAGTTCAAAGGGAGTTGAAAGAAAACGCAGAAAAAATCCTTACCCGGTCGGTCTCCACTCGGACACCCAATTCCGAAGTCGGTCAATCACAATCAATGGATCAACAGCTCCGAGACGCCTTCAAAGACATCATCCATGAATTAAGGAAGCTCAAAACCAGCAAAAAATGTTTCATTGGGCCGGGTCCGGCTAGGAATTCAAAGCGGAGC